AAATGTCAATTAAATCCATCTCATCTAGTGTGTAATTTAGGTTTACTGTTTCCTTGTTGATTTTTTGTCTGGAAGACCTATCCAGTGAAGTCAGTGGGGTGTTAAAGTCCCCCACTATGACAATATTGCTGTCTATCTCTCCCTTAAAGTCCTACAGAAGATTTTTATAAATTTAGGTGTTCTTATATAAGGTGCATTTATGTTTATCAGGATTATATATATACTCTTTTTGGATCTATCCCTTTGGTGTTATGTAGTGATCATTCTTGTCTCTTGTTATGGTTTTCATTTTGAAGTACATGTTTTTCACATTTGAGTATTGCTACTCCAACTTTTTTTAATTTCCATATGCATGGAATTTTTCCCCCCATCCCTTCACTCTTATTCTGTGTGAGTCTTTTGTTCTGAGGTGGGTCTATTGTATACAGCATAAACTTGGGTCAGGTTTTCTTATCCACTCAGTTACCCTATGCCTTTTGATTGGAGCATTTAATCCATATACATCTAAGGTTATTAATGATAGATTATTTATGCTTATGTTTTTTTCTTGATTTCTAATTCTAATTACAGCAGTCCCTTTAACATTTTCTGCAATGCTGGTTTGGTGATGATAAACTCCTTTAGCCTTTTTTTCTGGGAAACTCTATTCCACCACTATTTTGAATGATTGCCTTCTTGGATAAAGTATTGGTTTCAGCACCTTATTTTGCATTACCTTGAATACTTCATGCCATTCCCTTCTGGCCTGTAGAGTTACTGATGAAAAGTCTGCTGACAGCCTTATGGGAACTCCTTTGTTGGTAGCACATTGCTTTTCTTTTGTTTCCTTTAAGATTCTCTCATTTTCTTGAATTTTTGGCACTTTATGATTTGTCTGGGCATGGACCTGAAGGAATTCTTCTTGCTTGGGACCCTCTGTGCCTCCTGAACTTGTGTGACTTTTTCATTCACCAGATTAGGCAAGTTTTCTGCTCTTATATCTTCAAACAAATTCTTTATCCCTTGCTTATGCTCTTCCCCCTTCTGGCTCTCCCATGATGTGAATATTGTTACTTTTCATGTTGCTCCACAGTTCCCCTAGACTGTTTCCCTGTTTTTTTAATTTTTCTATTTCTTTTTGAATCTCTTATTGAGTTATTTTTTCTACCATTTTCTAATTCTCTGATCTGATCCTCAGCTTCCTCTAATCTGCTGTTTATTCCTTCCAATGTATTCTTTATTTCAGCTATGTCATTCTTAATTTTCTTCATAGTTTCCATATCTTTTCTCATTATCCTTACAATTGGTATTCTGAACTGTATATCTGATAGATTGCTTATCTCCATTTTAATTAGCTCTTCGTCTGGAGAAATGTCTTGTTTTTTCATTTGGAGCTTATTTTTGCTCTCCCCATTTTGGTTGCCTGTTTATGTTTCTGTCTATGTATTATGTAGACCTGCTATGACTCTCAATCTTTTTGGAGGGTCTCTGGTGCAGGCCAATGCCAGACACTCTTTGTGACTAGTCTTGAGTATCCTGTTTGGAGTTGTCAATAACCCACTGCTTGAGGTCTCTTCTGCTGGGTCTGAGTGCATTTGGGAAGGATCATTATGTACACAAATGTCTACTTTTCCAAAGCCCAGGTCCAGAAGTGGATTAGGCAAAGACTCAAAGCACTCTGAGGTCTGCCTTTGCTTGTAGGCTGATTAATATGATTCTCTTAATGAGCCTCAGGCTGTAAATACTCCCTGGGGTAGGGCAAGAGTTTCAACAGTAGGTTGGAGCAATTTCTTTTCCCCAGGCAAAAGCTGCTTCGAAAGTTAATGTCTGCCTGAGAAAGATGTCCTCTTCTGTTTGGGGGAATGATTGCACAAGAATTCAGATGGGTTTCCTCTAACCTCTATCTCCAGAGTCCGCAACCCTAACAACCCTAGATTTTTCACACATCTCCAGTCCACTCTGCCCTCACTCTGCTGAAGCCCAAGATGAGTGGCTGCACAGGAAACATTGTGCATTGGCTTTTTAAGGGGGTGCCTGCATTTTTAACCATCTCTCTCTGACAGACAGAAATCCTGCTGCTTTTCACATCCAGATGTTTATAAGCATCTTTCTCAGTTTTGGTGCCCTTGGGCTTGGAAGTCCTGCTTGTGGTTTCAACCTCAGAGTTCTCAGTGTAACCCCCTATAGCTGAGATATCCCTCTGGACCTGCAACCGCTGCCTGTGGGAGCCCAACGAGCCCTCTTGTGCATCTACACTTCCTACCAGTCTCTGTGCAGTCTCTGCTTTAGGTCCTTGTTATGAGGGTACACTCCAGCTAGACTTTACTAGCAGTTGATTTTGCAGGATGACTTTTCTATATTTTAGTTATAATTCCAGTTTGGTCCTGGGAGAGTGTCAGCATAGCTCCACTCAGTCCACCCCTATCTTGGGAACTTTTTGCTGTAAGTGTGCTGGTGATTTACTCATATTGTTGTTACCTTTTGTTCTTTGTTTCAAGTAGAATAAACCTTTTGTGTATTTCATGCAGAGTGGGTCTTCTGGTGATAAATTTCCTTAGCTTTTGTATGCCTGGAAAATTATTTCTCCTTTATATCTAAATGATAACTTTCCTTTTATATTCTTGGCTGGTAAGTTCTCTTTGAATATTTGTTTCCACTTGTTCTATATATTTGTTCTTTATTCCTCCTTTTGTCTTTCTCTTTAAATTAATTAAACTTCTCAAATTAAATTTTCCTTCTATTTTTTTATTAGTTTTATATCTTTTCATTAATTTTTGTCATTATCTTAGAGATTACAACATAACCCTTTAAGTTATTATAGTTTAGTGAAAATTAGTATTTTTACTTCTCCCCAAATGATGCAAACACCTTGCAACATTTTAATTGTGTTTATTCCACCCACATTTATGTACTATTACTATCATAAATGTTTTCATAAAATTTCCATTTTATTTTTAACTTAACTGATATTATTTTTATTTGTGAATACTTAATGTTTGTGTTCAGTACCCACATAAGTATTTTTTTATTGTCTTTATTTCATCTTGTATTAACTGTGCATCATCTTGGGTCATCTTCTCATACCTAAAGAATTCTCATTTGTATTAATTTTAGTGCTTTCTACTGGCAATAAAATTTGTACATTTTTGTTTGCATAAAAAGTCTTTATATTAAATTATTAAAATATGTTTGTTGTGTAAAAGTTCTAAATTGACTTTTTTTTCTTTTGTAACTTTAAAAATATTATTCCATTTCTTCTGGCATCTCTCTCTCATTTTCTCCCTTATGTGAAGATATAAGTTGGGGTCATGTAGCAAATAAAATATCCACAGCATAGCTTATAAAATTTAAAAACAACATGCTTTAAAAGAAGAAAACTATTTCAAGGTTTAATTATATTTGAGCTCTAATAACCTGAGGCAAAGACCACATTTATATAAAGCAAACATGCCATAATATATGGCTCAATCATCCCCTTTTCTCACTGTTCTTTGATTGCTTTTCTAGTGTTAATTTGCACAAATTGAGGTGCATATGTAAATTTTAAAGTATGTGAATAAGATAGTTTCAATGTATATGATTTATTTCATCTTTAAAATCTATCTTAATGTGTCATTCATATAAGGTATATTACTGCAATAGAATGTAAATTGTACTCTAATTGTGTCCAAAAGAAAGTTTTGAAAACACTACTTTAGACTGTAGTAAGGAAGTGAAAATCAATGTATGTGCAATTTCTTTTTCCAAGGATATGAAAGCAGTGATCTAGTTAGCATATCATATTTTCTAACTTAAACTCCCAGGATCACAGGCCACAATATCTTCTAGCTTCACTATTAAATGAAAATGTGTTCAACACAAATTAATTGATCATTTATCATTTGACTTGTGTAAAAGCAAAAGGCACATGATTGAACTACTTCAGGTATCTATGAAGCTTTCTTTTTCAAGGCCATTCAGAGCTGTGGTTCTTAAACAGAACTGAGTACCAAAACCACCAGAGAAAATTTTTAAATGCATATTTGATTAAGCACACCCAGAGATTCTGCTTCATGAATCCAGGAGTTCTCAGGAGTGTTTACATTTTGAAAATTGCCAAGTTAATTATTTTATTTGCCTTTAGTTGAGAACAACTGGTTTATATATTTTAATTAACTAGGGTCCCCAAAATCTTCATAAGTAAGTTAGTAATTATTTAGTGATGAGTATGAATCAGGCTTTGTGCTAGATACTAGCGCTTTACTTAGGAAATGAAAACATATTTGATTCAAACATAAATACATTTGACTAGTTTTACTTACTTTTGTTTAAAATTTGATGGTTTGGAAAAGTAAAAAAAAATGTTCTAAAGTATCCGTGTATATAAATACAATCTCAGAATCAAGAATGGTCACAATTCATTGTCCCTGCTAACTAATAAGGAAGTATTATTTTAAAAATAAATTATACCATGTATATCTTCAGTAGGCAGTATGATTGTTTCCAGATCAAATTTGCACTTTCCAAATGGAACATACCATGGATCAACTTTCCCTGTGTGTAAGAAAAATTCAAAATCTTGATTAACAGTTACATATGCCACTATCACACATCATTAGTGGTTTGATTTTTTGTAAGTACTGAGAAAACCAAAAAATGAAGGGTTTTTTTTAAAAAAACTTATTTAATGAATTTAGAAAATATGTGGGTTTACTACTGTTTTAGACTTTTTCACTGGAAAAATTGAAGGTATACTGGTTGGATTTATTGTCTTATATAATTAAATAAAATATTTTACATATTTTAAGTTATGTCAAATTAATGTTTTTATTTCATCATTCATTCCATTATTTTTGTTGATATTTCTGGTGAAAATAAACTTTTGTTCATCTATAACTTGATTTAGAGGAGAGATGTGATATGAATTATAAGTATGTTTTTGGATAATGAAATCCAGAGAATTCATAAAAATTTTCAGTTTTATTATTGAGAAGTTATTATTATTGTTGTTGTTATTATTCATAGTACAAATTTACTTAAAGTATTTTCTTTTTTTAACAGACAAGAAGTAAACATCAAAGCATATGATAATTCCATGCCAAGTAAGAATTTTGTCTTTGTAGTTCAATATTGTTTGATTATATTTGAGAATAAACTTAAGAATGAATTACTAGTATCTTCCATTCAATATGATAAAGCATAAAATGCCTTGAATTTTGGTTAAAATTTAAAAGAATCATGTATGTGTGTATATGTGTATGTCTATGTTGGTATGTGCGTATGTGTAAAATATTCTGACCTTAATGTGGGCATGCACACATTATTTTGAAAGGAAACATTTAATTTATTCTTCCTCATTATAAAAAACAACCTTAGTTTCATAAGGCTCCCTTGTGTTTAAAACCACTATAACAAAAAGAAAAGTAGAAAAAGAAAATACAGTTATAAAGATGAAAGTGGATCATTCATTTGTTACTCAAATACAACTTTAGGAAAGTTCTCCTTAATAAATTGAGTTTAAATCTGTCTGCACTGCTACAATGTTTACCCATTGGTTCTAGTTCTTCCTTCAAGAAACACATAAAAGAAGTCTCTAACTTTGTGATGAAGAGAATAGACACTGGAAACAAACTGTTTGACTTTTAATTCTTATACTTTATGATTTTGAGCAAATAATGTAAACTCTCTCAGTGCTTTATTTTTCTGTATCTGTAAAATGAAAGCAATTATATATTATATTATCTAATTCAAAGTGTTGTTTGAGGATTAAATGAAATGATGTGTATAAAGTGCTTAAAACACTGTCTGACACATAGTAAGCAATATGTTAGTGTTAGCAGTTGCAGCTATTCTATAAATGCTGTTACTACTATTCTCCCATATAACATCTCCTTAAATATTTGAACATAGAGAGCACATTTTTGCTTAGTGTCCCCAAGTCCTGGAGAACTGTCCTTAGTTACCTTACTAGTTTCTCTTTTGACACAGCTACCAGAGAGTGTGATCCTCTTGATCGCTCTATTCTGGATATCCTCAAGTGTTCATATGTTCCTTTAACACATTTTATTAAAGTTATTGGGTAACAATAGTTAATAAAATTATATAGGTTTCAAGTGTACAGTTCTACAATACATCATATCTATATTACATTGTGTGTTCACCACACCATATCAAGTCTCCTTCCCTTTTAAAAATATAGTTCACAAAAATGAATGCAATATTTTCATCTGTGGCCCTAATTCTTGTGTCTTGAAATAACACTGAGGTCAGAGGAGTACTGAAATAAATAATTAGATTTGATCAATTGAGATTTTTACTATTTCCTTTATGCTCAACATTGTGCTAGCTATTATGGGAACTATACAAGTAGTCATGTGGTCTTCAACCTAACTAAAAAGATATAAAAGAAACCAAAATAGAGAAAACTATGGAGATGTTTAAAAAGAAATAATCTTTCTCTATTTTCCATTCTTACTGTTGATTGTACTATTTTAACTATTATAATTTAAATATCTATCTGTAAAAACGGTTTAATCTAAAAAATAAAATTATATGTGATGAAAGAATATTTTACTTTAGGTGGTGAGCACACAATGCAATATACAAATGATTTACCTTAGAATTGTACACTTGAAACCTATATAATCTTATTAACCATTGTTAACTGATAAATTTAATTAATTTTTAAAATTAAAAATGCCATTTTTAAATATAGATATTGCAAATAGGGAGATAATCTTTTATGGGAAAATCTCATTGAAATCCCTAATTGATATTCAAAGAAACTACAAACTCCAGAAAGAGAATGGATATTTTGAGTTATAACTTAGTTTAAGCAATATATTTCTTACTTATGAATAGCTCAGTGCTTATGAAAGTCTGTCTACTAATTGCAAATTATTTATTGTCTTCTCTTATGTTAGTCAGCAAATCAAGCAGAAAATTATGGAATCAAGAATGCTTCACTTTGACAATTCCTAAACCACCTCAGCCAGGTAGAAAAAAGAGATCAAGACCTTCAGAATTACAAATCACAGTTCCTGTAAGTACTGAAAAGGACATTTTAAAACTAAACCTAAGATTATACATTATATACATATAGATAGAGATACATAATTTAAATTTTACTATTGGTAGCAGATATTTTAAAATATATAATTCCCCATAAAACAGATTTCCCTCTTCTGTTTCAGATTAAACTTTTATTTTTATGTGGCTCTCCATTTCAAAGGCATTATATAGCTAATAGAATAGGCAAGCTAAAGAATCAAATGTTGCAAATGGTGGGATCTCTCAGGAAATTTTTACTAGCTGCGAAAACAAAAAATTTGAAACTTAGAGCAGTAGCTGATCTTGATGAGGTTATAAGAGCCTCTCCATTTTCCTTAATCTGGCACCAAGGATACTAGATACTGGGAGAATCATTTTTTACTGCTTTTATGAAGTGGAGTTATCAACAGCAAAAAGAAAGACTAGTGCTCAGAGGTCAACCCATGCTATTACCAAAATATATTTCAAAAGCATCTCCCAAAGCAGAGTTACATTCAATTAATTTATTCAAGAGTTATTCATATATCTGTAGTGATTCAAGCACATGCTTCTCTTCATGGTCTTCTTTCAATTCCGTATAACCATTTCATTGACTGGTGATGTCTCTACTGAATAGCTGAAAAGATATAATAAGTAAATGTAAAATTAATCTATGTGGCCACTATGATATTCATATTTGACAAATGTTTGGGTGGGAGTTTTAAAAAATTACACTACTGCTACACAAATTACTGTGAATCAAACATTTGTTTTATTTTATGTATTTGCTTTTGACAATACTTAACAGCAGGGCTTACAGGCTTTTAATTTTATCAGAGACCTTGAAAGCAAGAGTAGAAATAAGGCTTGGCCTGAAGCCTACAGCTATCACAAGAATTGTCATGACAATCTTGATGGGCATAAGCTTATTTCTGAAATAACTTGAGGGTGAAGGGTGTACAAAATGTTCCAAAAGACCTCTCCCATATTGGGGTCCAAAATGAACCCACTATTAATTTTAAGTTCAGGCCTTGGAATATCATGGATCATTGTGGGTCTGCTTCAATCTCAAAGTGAATCAATATATGAATAGCATTTCTTGTAAAGCAATTTTATTTCCAAAGTAGAGTTATCTCACATAAACACACAAACACACATAGGACATTGAAAAATAAAATAAAAAATAAGTTTTAAATGAATGGTTAAGAAGAAGCTAGACTATTTTCAAGTTTTAATATATAATTTGATTTTGATTTTATGAAAATTTTAAATTAAATTTATTGGGGTAACGTTGGTTTATAAAATTATATAGTTTTCAATTGTACAATTCTATGATACATCATCTGTATATTGCATTGTCAAAAATTCTTATTATTTTAACCAATCTTTTTAGAGATGTGACAAAAGAAAATTAGAGGAAGTTCATAAGCCACCTCATATATGGATAAGGCATTTTTTAAGAAAAATTTTCCAAAGGCCATCTAATTACTTCACTGTCAGTAGACAGGCTCCATTTAGCCATCCTTGTACTCCTAAAACCCATCCTGGAAAGGCAGAATCTAAAAAGTTGGAAGATTACAATAAAAGAACAACTTTTAAGAAAGATTCCAAGAAAAATACTGGCCCACATGAAACAGCTCCAGAATCCAAGGAAACAGGAAATAATAAAAAACCTAAAAGAGGAGACAAAACAGACAAAACTCCATCAAAATCATCACATGAAAGTGAAATATCTACGGAGTCAAAGTACAAATCAGGAACAAACCCCAAATCCAAAGATTCTCAGGCAGTCTTAATGAAGCAACCAAAAAAATGTAAGAGAGATTTCAAAAATTCCAAGGAGACAGATATTGAATCCATATGTACAAAAAAGGAATCTAAGAGCTCAAAGAACAATTTTAATGCCAAATCTGAGGCTTGCTCAATAAATATTTCAAATATGGATTTAATGACATATTTAGAGGAGTCTGGTGCTGAATCCATGGAATTTGGTATGTGGTTAAACAATTACTCACAGAATAATTCAAAGAAGCCTTCGAAGAAGGAAGCAAAGAAAAGCTCTGATGCTGAATCTTCAGATTCCAAAGATACAAAGAAGGATAAAAAAGGTAAAGGGAAAAACAAGAAGAAGGATGCAAAGGAAACAGAGTCAACTGATGCAGAATCTGAGTCTGAATTGGAGTCAAAAAAGGATAAGAAAGATTCAAAGAAAGGTAAGAAAGGTTCAAAGAAAGATGACAAGAAAAAGGATGCCAAGAAGGACATGCTGTCAACTGATGAAGATCCTGAATCTGAACAGATTTCAAAAAAGGATGAAAAAGTTGAAAAGACCAATAAGAGAGAGTCAAAGAAAGATGACAAAAAAAAGACTGCAATGAAGTCTGAAGAGTCTAGTGAAACTGAATCTGATTGGGACTCAAAAAAGGAAATAAAAGCTAAGAGAAAGTCAAAGAAAGATGCCAAGAAACAGGATGCAAAGAAGAGCATAGAGTCTACTGATGATGAATCTGATCTATCTTCCAAGAAAGAAGAAAAGAAGCCAGGGATGAACAAAAGTTCAGATGCTGAATCTGAAGAGTCAATGCATAAACCTAGGGCTAAAAATAAAGGCGTTGATGAATCAGATGCAACATCTACAGATTCAAAGAAGGAAGCACTGGAAATAAAAAAAGATTTTAAAACGTCATTCAGAAAGACGACATTCAAAGAAAAAGAAAAACAAGCAGTTGCAGGTAGAGTTCCTCCATCAAGAGAAAGTTCACTACCATCTCCTTGCGAGCCTTTACAACTATCACCTAAGATCAAACGTCTCTGTCGGTGCAAGATGGATCCTCTGCCTCCAAAACCAAGATATGCTCCTTTGGTATGTTTACTTCTATTTTAGAGACATATATTAGAAATGAAAGATATTTTAAAATTTTGAATTCATACTTTCTTTAAAGAATAGTCCTCTTTTACTGGAATATTGACAAGTTTGGGACTCTCAGGTAAGAAAGATAAAAAATACTTCAAAATGACTCAAAATAGTGGCAAAACAAATGTCAAAAAGTTAAGAAGAATATATAGATTGGAGCATAGAGAACTAGGTTGTGATTTAAAAAATCATTTAAAATTACTTGTAAGGGGAGCCATATTACAAAAGTGGTTAATGGTTCTATACTTAAGAAGAAACAAACATGAAAGTAGACTAAAACTTGTACAGGCACAGATCTAAGTAAGGTGTAAATACATTTTCTAGGAAGTTGCTGAATATAGTAAAAAACATAACCAAAATCCAGTCAGAACTGTTTGGAAATATAACATACCAGGATTCATATAGGCAAAATATTAATTATTAAATCCATATCTGAACTAAGTTTCTATATGACATATTATCCTTACCAATGATCAGAAAAAAGTTAACTTACCAGACGTAACTCAATCTCCTCTGATTTACAAATGTCTCTTTTTGGTTAACTCAGTCTCTTTGGGGATAAATATTCCATAAATTTAAATTTTCCATTTCTGTCCTTCAGAATATCGCCTCTTTCATTTTCCTTCATCCATAATCTTGCTGTAAGGGTAAGCTTAAGTAGACATCTCACTTTGAGAGGAGTGACTTCTGTCCTCCCTTTGTAGCTTTCTCTGATCATTGGTTGAGGTGTAGTTCATTTGCATGGTTTCTGTGTATCAGCCTGTGTTTCTCTGCTTTCTCACATAGTGTTTTTTTATCTGTTTTCAGCATGGTAGGGATAAATCTGCTAAAATCAGAGAATATGTGGATATGGATGGGTCTTGACCTTGAGCTTCTAATTTTAATTTATTCCTCTGCTTTCTCCACTTCTTCCCTGTTCTCCTATTCTTCTTTCTCAAAGAGCTTCAACTTCTAATCTTATGGGAACCTCCATTTGCTTTTCATACATTTTTCTTTTTTGGAATTTATAAATTTCTTTTATCTCTCTCAGAAAGTCTGGATTTTAATTCCATTTTCTCCTGCTAGATTCAAAAAATCAGCTTTGAGACTCAAAGCTGAAATAACAATGGCCTTGTTTAGAGGTCAATCTTATAGGTTGAGTCAATGGGTGGGAAGTCATTAGGACAAGAATGAATATATATTGCTGGATAATTTTTAAGGTAAATGGGAAAATAACCTCAAATAGCTGGAATATTTTCTACAAGCAGTTTTTATAAAAACTAAGTAAAATGTAAGGAAACAAGCTGGGGCCAAAGATAAGTTTTATTTATGAAAAACAACTTCAGGGTATGTTCTGGGTTTGTATACATTCACCACCAAGTGTCTTCAAAAACTTTCATATTCTTAGCTACCATCCAGCCAGACTCTTCCATTCCAACCACTTCATGAAAGTGCTCTTTTCAAGATTACCAAATACCTTGTTGGGGCCGCATCAACTGGTCTCTCTTCTCACCTCATCCTTTTTTTATTGTTGACAGTATTACAGATTCCCCCCATTCCCCCCCATTCTTACTGATAGCTTTTTACTAACTTTATTGTATCCTCCTCTACCTAACCTTTAGGGAGGGAATGACCTAAAACTTGATCCTGAACCTTCTCTATCTAAAATCCTCCCGTGGTGAGTTCACTAAATGCAATTATTCTAAATATTATTTATGTATTGATGAGTCCAAAATTATTACATATAGCTCTGATCTTCCTGAGTTTCAAATTTTTTCTTTTAAATATATCTTCATTGATTTCAGAGAGATGATGGGAGAGGGAGAGAGAGTTGAAACATCAATGATGAGAGAGTCATCATTGATTGACTGCCTCCTGCATGCCATGGACTGGCCCCACAACCCCGGGCATGTGTCCTGACCGAGAATCGAACCAAGATCTACTACAGCCTAGGCCGATGCTCAACAGCTGAGCCATGCCTGACTGGGCGCTGAGTTTCAAATTCTTATATCTAACCACTTACTTGAAATTTCATTGTAGATTCTACTAGGCATCTCAAACTTAACATATCTTAACAATACTCTTAACCCATGCCCAAATGCATTCCTCCTCAGTCTTCCCCACCTTAGTAAATGACACCACCATTCACCTACTAGATCTTTTCAAACCTGGATATCATCTATATTCCTCTCTTTTCCTTATCACTCACATATATGCAATCAGTAAGACTAATATACCTTATTTCTAAAGTTATCCTCACTTTTCTCCATCTGAGTCACTACTACTACTTCCACGGTCCCAATGAATATTGTTTTTCCTGGAATACTGCAAGAGTTACTAACTAGACTTGCTATCCCTACTCTTCACTGCTTAAAACATTATAGTGGTTTCCTATTACATTCAGGAAAAAACTCAAACTTCTTTCCTAAGCTTTAAATGACTATATCATCTAGGCTTTACCTGTTTTCCACCCTCATCTGTACCACTTTCTCCCTTTTATTTTATGATCTAGCTAAACTGGCATTCTTTGTGTTTCTCAAACAAGCCAAGATTCTTTTCTTCCCAAGCCACTGCATAGGCTGTTCCACTGCTTGGAATGCTCCTCCCCAGATCTTTGCATTACTAATCCTCATTGTTTTGCTTTTTAAGCTTATATGTTATCTCCTTAGAGAAGCCTTCCCTGATTGCCATATCTTATGCTATCTCTTCCTGCAACAACTTTCCATTCACTCTCCAAACCCTAAATACTATTTTATTTCTCTTTATAGAATGTATCTTTATCTAAAATTATATGTTTATTCATTTGTTTATTAATTACATTCATCAGTAAGATTCAGGCTACATCCAGGTGGTGAAAATTATCTGTTTTTTCATTCCTGTATCTACAGTTCCAAAAGAAACACCTGGGCAACATTTGGCTGGTTAAGAACTTGGTCTGTCTAAATAGCTGCAGATCATAGCACACTAGTAGACTTTCTGACTTCCATTTTTCCAATAATTTCTACTCTAGCAATATCAGACTAAAATGAACAAACAGCAAGGCATTTTGGAAAGAGGGGAAGTCACAAAAAATGCTACTTACATTCTAAGTAGATGTCTGAAAAGAATACGTAAATATCCTCATTTGTGTGGAGGGAACTTATGAGCAGACTATATTAATGCATCTTAGGTCTCTTTCAATATGGCCTCAAGAAACCATACTAATTATCTCTCCCACCCTCACCAGAGTCCTATTGATTCTCATAGCAGAACATAAATAAGGCTATTGCCATGTTTCAGAATCAGATCTATTTATACTCCTGGACTAAAATAACGCACATTTGAAATAATGTTTGTAGAAACTTGCCATGTTTCTCAAAAATAAATGAAAAAGTCTTTATATTCTATTTACTGTGGTAAACAACTAGAGTTTTATGTTTAGAGTGTTTGTTTTTTATTCTAATTTTTTATTTTTTTATTTAGGTATAATTGACATATAACATTATGTTACTTTCAAATGTACAACATAGTGATTCAATATTCATATATATTGAAAAATGATCACCACAATAAGTTTAGTTAACAACCATTACCATACACAGTTACAAAATGCTTTATTTGGTGATGAAATTTTTAATATATACCCTCTTAGCACTGTAAAATATGTAACATAGTATTATTAAGTATGGTCACCATATTATAGTCTCATGACATTTATTTTATAGATGGAAGTTTGTACATTTTAACCCCTTTCACTCATTTCACTCACTCCCAACCTCCTCACATTTGACAGGCACCAATATGTTCTCTTTATATATTAACTTTGTGTTTGTTTGTGTTTTCCCACATGTAAGTTAGATTATACAGTATTTGTCTTTATCTATCTGACTTATTACATTTAGCATAATTCCCTCAAGTTTCATACATGTTGCTCTAAATGGTAAGATTTCCTTTTTATGGCTGAATACTCTATTCTGCTATATATATATACTGCATTTTTTTATCCATTGATTTGCTGATGGACACGAAGGTACATATATCTTTCTGAGTTAGTTTTTGTTTTCTGTAGATAAATACCAGAAGTAGAATTGCTGAATCATATTAGTTTTATTAAATTTTTTAGGAACCTCCATACTGTTTTATAAAGGGAATACCAATTTACATTCCCACAAACAATGCACAAGTCTTCCCTTTTCACCACATCCTTGTCAGAACTTTTTATTTTTAGTCTTTTTGATAATAATTTTAACAGGTGTTAGGTGATATCTCATTGTTTTGATTTACATTTCCCTGATGATTAGGGATGTTGAGCACCTTGTAATTTACCTGGTGAACATCTGAATGTCTTCTTTGAAAAAATGTCTATTCAGATAATTTGCACATATTTTAATTGGATAACTTGTGATTTGCTGGGGTTTGTTTTTGTTTTTTATATTGAGCAGTATGGATTGTTTATATATTTTAGATATAAACCTCTTATCTTATATATGATTTGCAAATATTTTCTCCCAAATAGCAGGTTGCTTTTTCATTTTGTTAATGGTTCACTTTTCCATATGAAAGATTTTTAGTTTGATATAGTTACACTTATTTATTTTTATTTTTGCTTGTGTTGCCTTTGCTTTTGGTGTTAAATCCAAAAAATCACCGCCAAGACCAATGATGTCTCAGAAGCTTACCAGGCAAAAGCTTACAGCCTATGTTTTCTTCTAAGAATGTTATGGTTTCAGATCTTCAAATCTTTGATCCATTTTGAGTTAATTTTTGCCTGTGGTATAAGATGGTGATCCGATTTCATTTGTTAACATGTAGTTGTTCAGTTTTCTCAACACCATTCAGTGAAAAGACTGTCCTTTCCCCTTTGTATTTTCTTGGTTCCTTTGTCAAATATTAATTGAACATACATACATGGGTTTATTCCTGGATTCTCTATTCTGTTCCATTAATTTATATGTCTGTTTTTAATGCTGATACTATACTGTTTAGATTATTGTAGCTTTGTAATGTAATTTAAAATCAAGGAGTGTGTGCTTCCAGTTTTTTTCTTATTAAGATTGCTTAGGCTGTTTGGGGTTTATTATGATTCTATATAAATTTTAATCTTGATAGTTACATTTCTGTGAAAGGTGCCATTGACATTTTGATATGGATTGCATTGAATCTGTTGTTTTCCCTTGGTAGTATGGACTTTAACAATATTAATTCTGTTAATCTATGAGCATAAAATACATTTGCATTTATTTGTGTCTTCATTTTTTTTATCAGTGTTATAGATTTTAGTGTACAGGTCTTTCAACTCCTTGTTTAAATTTGTTCCTGTGTGTTTTACTTTTTTATGCAATTGTAAGTTTTCTTAACTTTTCTTTTTGCTAATTTGTTCTTAGTGTATAAAAATTCAACAGATTTTTGTATATTGATTTTGTATCCTGCAACTTTACTGAATGTGATCATTAGTTCTAACCATTTTGGGGGGAGTCTTTAGGGTTCTCTCTATATAATATGTCATCTGCAAATAGGGACAGTTTTATTTCTTTTCTGATTTAGATTCCTCTTATTTCTATTTCTTGCTCAATTGCTCAGGCTAGATTTTCCAATTCTATATGAAATAAAATTGGTGAAAGTAAGCATTTTGTTTTTTCTCTGATCTTAGAAAAAAAGCATTCAGCTTTTCACCATTAAATATGAATTTAACTCTGCGTTTGTGATATATGGCTTTTATTATGTTAAGGTACATTCCTTTTATACCCATTATTTTGAGAGATTTTGTCATCAATAAATGTTGAATTTTGTCAAATCCCTTTTCTGTATTTAAGATTATTTTTATCCTTCGTTTTGTTACTGTGGTATATCTAATGGATTGATTTACAGATGTTGAACCATCCCTTGAATAAGTGCCACCTCAATAT